TTCAACGTGGGATTTTATGGTCTTTCATTCGGTTAGTTGAGTGAGATTGTTGAGCGGTTTGGAGCTGACTCACGAAGCGATATGGGAGCGCATAAGCCAGCTACGCAGATTTCGCTATATCTTGTCTGCATTAGTATCGCGATCTTCTCATAGTCTTGCTCAGTACGAGAGAGACGTCAATGAAACGTGTTATTGTTGCTCACTTTTACCTTGTAGGATTGATTACAAAATTAACATAGCGACACTGAATTCGTTTGCACGCATCAAAACTAAAAAAAACCCAGTAATTTTGTATCACTTGCCGTTTGCTCCGTTCAGACAACTTTCAACTATACACTAAGTCGTCTAGCTTTGGATGTAACAGGGAGCTTTGATGCAAGCGATTAAAGGCACGTAAATTTTCTTTTGAATATGTACGGAAGTTCACGGTTTAAAAGTTGTAACTTGCGATGGAAGTGGAAAAAATATTGCGGTCTATTGTATGTAAAGCATTCATGTGCAACCCTTCACGATGAACACGGATCGCCTAATCAACAGCAATGTTAGGTCCAATTTTCCATGGTTTTCTTATAGAATGACAAAATCACGATACAAAACTAATTGCTATTTTGAGACGCCATTCCCGCATTAAATTAAAGGTAAGGTGAAATCTTTATTTAGACACGGTATTTCCTTCAGGACTATACAATATTTAATTTAAATTGCTGGTGTTTATGGGATGAAATGTTTATATCTTATTATAAAAACGAGAGGGCCGCACTAAGAGAGTTTGGGCAGTACGGGACGAGCATAAGGAGGCCCTTACAATCATATCGTGGGCCTATGTTGTCCCAGTACGGGCCCTCAAATGCGTGGTTTATGAGAGATTTGGTATTCGGCTGGGAATGTCCAAATGAGAGGCACGGTGGCCTCATGGTTAGCACGCTCGTCTCCGGATCGAGCGGTCCGGGCTCGAGCCCTGGCCTGGGACATTGCGTTGTGTTCTTGGGCAAGACACTTTACTCTCGCAGTGCCTCTCTCCACCCAGGTGTATAAATGGGTACCGGCGAACTTAATCCTGGGGGTAACCCTGCGATGGACTAGCATTCCATCCTGGGGGGAGTAGGAATACTCCTAGTCGCTTCATGCTACAGAAACCGGGATAAGCTCCAGCCTGATGAGCCACTTTGCTCGTATGCAGACTTTACCTAGAAATGTCCAAAACAATCCCACCATCGTGGACTGGTAAGACACTGTTAACTTGAAGCACGTAATCTAATAGAGTGCTGACTTGACATTTACTCGCATGTAACCTAAACGAAAGAACAGAAAGAAAAGAAGAGAAAGTTGCAAAAAATATTTGTTCATGGGTAAGTTAGTTTTTCCTTTCAGAAACATGAAAAATAAAACTACCAAAAATGCGTTGGTTCATCCGGGCACTGCTTAGGCCAACACTTTTAAGCAATTGAGCAATTTGATTGGTTGATTTTAGTTGTTTACCTCGTTAGCTAAGTCCTGTGATGAAATGCGATATTGTAAAATAATGTTTTTCGCCCATTTATTTGTTTGGAATAATCCTATGCTCTCCTTGTAGACTTATTTGTAACACAAAGTGCTTGATGCATTCCCTGTCTACATACGTTTGCCTCAATAGGATATTCACTAAGAACACAGCATCTTGGATATAGGGAAACATTAAAGAGTTGTGGATCGGAATCACTGATATCTTAAGTGTAGAGAACAAAGGCCTCTTCTTTTCATTATCAAGATAAGGGCGAAGTTTCATTTTCCACTTTTCATAATCTATGGCGCTAAAAGTGTTTTCAGTTGATCTAATTATTCTTTCTTGAATGGTATTCGAAGTAGTCTATTATCTATGTGAATGAAATTATTTCACTAAGGAGATTTTTCCCAGCTTGTTTCCGACGTATCGTCTCTAGCAGCTTTTTATCTCTTCTACATGTTAATGGCAGTGCATGAAATAGGAAAAATGAAAGTTTCCACATTTGCCCAATATTTTTAAAAGCTTTGTGGTATGCAAACTCTTAAGTGTTCCTGCATAGCCTCCGCCAAGTTACAACTGTAATAGCGACTTAAGGCCACTTTGATACTTTATAGTTGTTTATGTGATTTAATACCTCTTACTAACCGAGTTCGAGGGCCCTACTGTAAGTTACGGACCGAGTTTCTTCCCCATCGATTTATGGCCCAAGCGCCAAGCGTGCGGGCCATAAATCGAAAGGGATAAACGAGGATCTGTAACTTACAGTATGGACCGAGAAGACGAGGTTAGTAAGATATTTATCATTTCTTTACTGTGTCTGCCGGGTTCGGGAACGATTTCTATTCACGCAGAACGGCTTCAAATTTTTGACGCACGTCAAAAGCAAAACGAATCAATTTGAAATCGTTGTTAAGTGCCTCTTAAGGCGTTAGCAGGTTTTAATACACAATTTTAGAAGTAAAAGAAAGTTTTAAACTTTTACTTACTATAAAAGTTAAGAACACTTGGCGATAAATCACGAAAAATTTTGGCAAAAAAAAAACCCTTTAAATTTTGGCGTTCCGTACAGTGGAATACTGCCTGGTATATTGACCAATCACAGCACGCATAATAACTGAGAGATATAAATAACAATAGTGTGAACTACAGTCGAACCTCTCCATAGAGGCCACCTTGAGGACAGTGGAAAGTGGCCATAATAGAGAGGTGGCCGTTATGGGGTGGTAGAGGTTTAATATGACACTTTTTCATGGGGTGCAACATTTTGCTTATTGTAGCATACAAATGCGTAACACAATAAAGATGCCAAACAGACGCCAGTACTGATCAAGTTACGTAACCTTTAAGTGATTAACTAGCTGTTGTCAAGAGGTTACTTTAGCAGTCGCGACATGCTTTAGTGGCGTCGGTTGCCGTTGTGGAGAGGTGGCTGTTGGAGAAAGGTTAAAATAAGATACAATGTATGGATCATATCTCGGGACAAAAAAGAGGCCGTTGTAGAGAGGTGGCCGTGAGTGGAGGTTTGGCTGTAGTTTTAAGTCAAGTGGCGCTCCCTGCATATCTCTTCAATTGAGAAACCTTTTCTTTAATTAGTCGGTATTTGTTGTAATGTGTTTTGCTGTTGAAAGCAAAGCAGATGCTAGCGATGTTCACACATGATTAGATCTTTTACTGTCTTCTTCTAAAGGAAGGTTTTCGTAAAATATAAAAGGTATAAATGTATTAAGTTAGAGTGCTGTCATTCTGTGCAGTGTAGTATTTGACTCGGTCTATAATAACTATTGTTTTAATGAGGTTATTATACCGCCGGGAAATCCTAGTCAAATCGCTTGTCATTTAATTTGCTTGTAGTTGCACCATCGGTAGAAATTTCAAATGAAACAGCTATTGTTGTCGAAGGAGAGAGCTTGGAGCTGAAATGTAATGCATCTGGAGAGCCTGGTCCTAGCGTGACATGGACAAAGGTTGGCAGTTTTGAGGTGCTCTCTAATACATCATCACTCACCATTGTGAATGTAAGCAGACCTGGGACACCTGATAACATGATCCAGTATCAGTGTACAGCTAGTAATGGAGTGGGGACACCTGCCACAGCTACATCAACCATCGATGTTCACTGTAAGTATTCAGAAAATCATCTCTAACTTTGATGATAATTGTGGATGATTAAAGGCTGCATGTATATTAAGACAGTTCCGTAATGTTTTCGAATGGTGTACCGCGAGATAACCCACGAGTGACTTTAGTTTTCAGTTTGGCTTGTGCCACAAGAAAACATTGGATAACTATTTCATCTGTTCAGTTCTGGTGGTAATAGACTTCAGTCATTCTGATTTCTTTGGTTCAGAATATATTTGTTTTATTTGCATGTGACAAAAGGGTCAAAGATGTTTCTTCAGAAACAGAATTTGGTTGCTGTTTGGCAAGTTCCTCTACTTCTACACAAAGCTGTCCCGATTTGAAATCTGGATTTGAAATCTGGAGGTCCCAGGTTCAAATCCTCCGCCCTACCGCTGTCTGGATTTGCTCTCGGTAGCCCCGAGTTCAACTCCTCGGCCGC